CTTTGGGCCCCTTGGTACCAATTGAGCATCGTTGCAACGCCACAGCCTACCTGAGTATTGTTGCTGACCATGTCCATCCCTTTATGACCACAAAACCGTTACTAGCGTGGTGTACCTAATAAAGTGGCCGGCGAGTGTATATGAGATAAAGCTGTTTGTATAGAGGTGAGTTTATTAATTTTTCTGTAAGTTGCACTTAAGTGTGTTTTATCAAAATGCCCTCTTTTGACTGTCTGCTCAGGCCTAATGTTTCAGTCATCTTGTTGAACTAAAACCATCTGCTGACTCATTTCACATCATGTTTGAGAAGTAGGTCAGAGAACTGTCTGTACTGTTGATGAATTAAAGGACATTGTCCCTGTTTACTTTGTTTTGTTTTGTTTCATCAAAATTGACCAGTTTCTTTCACCTTGCATTTTCCAGCCAAGGCTCCCAAAGCAGCTCCCTGGAGGAGGTCCATCTGGATGGTAACCCCCCCGCCCCTCGTCTGGTGGAGATGAGACGGGATCCGGTTTTGGGCTTTGGTTTTGTGGCTGGCAGTGAGAAACCAGTGGTGGTCCGATCAGTCACACCAGGTCGGTGAACAAACAGACTTGTACCACATGAACATTTGATTCATGCAGGCTGTCGCAGTTGAGCCAAACAGCTGCATTTTGCAAGAAAGAAAGTGGTCACAAATTGATGTTTAGGGTCTCTTTTTTCCCCCTGGAAATGTGTTTATTGGTTTATTGCAAAATTGCTGCCAGGCTTCTCACACACGATTCTTAAATGTCTCAGTAATCAATCAGAGGTGAATTTTAAGCGAACAGCTGAACTAATGAAAATTCAGTTTTAAGTGTTTGGCCAAGGGAACAGGTATAGATGTTTGCACTTATTACACATTACAAGAAATAAACATAATTTATCTATGCCAGCACACTCATTTTTACCAAATGGTTCACTTAATGCCTTCAATTATTCATATTTTATCTTCAGCAGGCAAAACTGAGTCTCTTTTCCTGTGAGGCAAGTAATCAGCTGTGGCTTATTTACATGTTGTTCTGTGTTCAGGTGGTCCATCAGAGGGGAAGCTGCTGCCTGGCGACGAGATCATCATGATCAACGATGAAGCTGTCGGCTCGGCTCCCAGGGAACGAGTCATCGATCTCGTCAGGTAGATAACACCAACCTCACTGACTAAATCACTGCTGCAAGGGTTCAGGTCACTGAGCTGGTGGATTTACTGTGTTTCTCCGATTATTGACACATAAAAAAACAACGATTTGCATGATCGCTCAGCCAGGGAGCATTGGCACATTGGCCCACAGAATTTTGCTGTGTTTGGGTAATAAAACATTTTTTTAACCTGAATGTCTAATCAGGTAAAATTTTAACTAATTTTTAAAAGTCCCAGTTTAATTGTGTTTATGTGGCAGCTGAGAATCTTCAGTTTTTCTCCCCACTGATTGCTAAAGTCTTTGGTAATCAGCTGAATTTATTCTTGTCTCTACATATTAAATCTTTTTTTTTTTTTTTTGCCACTGGCTGCAACACAAACACAGCAGACCCACAGTATTCCCTTGTTAAATAGAGTGGGGCTTGGAAATTGTAATCTGTGCCCCTTTTTTTACTCTCACATATGCCTTTGCTCAGATGGTCCAAAATTTTGTTTTCACCTTCAACAGTCCACTCAGGGTTCTTTCCAAAATGCTTCAGGCTTGTTCAGAAGTCTATTTGCAGACTAATGAAGCAGATTTGTTTAGTTGTCGTCATAGTTGTAAAGACACACAAAAAATGTTCTCTATAGACTATTTGTGCTGTGGTGCTTGAATATTGTAGAGGCTGCCTATTTTTATTCAGGTCATTTGCAGTTAATTACTTGATTCTAGAAGTTCTGCAAAATATTTTCTTGCAGTTTTTTTTTTTTTGTTTACATTAAATAATTCTGCCATTTCTGTGACACACCAAAAACTATGGTATATATTGCTTTCTTCTAATTTTCTTCTGTTTATTTGAAAAAAAATCTCTAAAAAAAAAACCTGGGCCACTGCACTGGCTGCTTGTTTAATCATATAATATAATATAATTAGAGTTTATTTAAAAAGTATTTGTATTTGTTTGTTTTTAGCCTGTGAACGTTTAACGTACACTTGGGCAGCAAATGCTCATGGGACATTTCATGAATTGATGAGTATYTGTGGTCTTATAAAGTGTGCAAATCTGTGTATTTAAATCTAATCTAAATGTCTCTTGTAGTGACATGCTTAATTTTAATAAAACTCAAAATTAAACTAAGCATAATGAGTGAAAACTGCATGCACTACAGTCCCTTATATAGCCACTGGGTCAATGGATGGATTGCCTGTATTAGAAACACAGTGATTCTACAGAGGACAGTGGGAGATGACATTTAATAATTTATTTATAACAGTTAAAACATTTTTAAGCAGCAGCCTCAACACTTATCAAAGCAACAAAAAATCATCAAAACAAAAAAATTATCTAATTAAATTCATAATCGTTTATGTTCCAGTAAGGTTATGATTAATATCACTCCAATTAAGCTTCTGCCAGGTGTAAGCAATTATTTCCACTTGTCTACTAAATTCTTATTTAATTAAGTTCTGCACAAACATTACAGTGTCTTTACATGAGCAAAGCTTGTAACAAATAAACCTTCTTCCCAGAACCAATTTTTAAATTTAACGAGCGTGCTGATCAGTGCCTCTGGATTTAACTGCATCTGTTTAGTTTCTGCTAAAGGCATCTCATATTACATCACCTGAGCTTGTGGTGTTCCTGTTGTTAACTAAAAGTGTTGTTTTCTTGACGTTTTGTTAACATGAACTTTTCTGCTTGATCCAGGAGCTGCAAGGAATCTATCTTGTTGACTGTTGTGCAGCCGTATCCTGTGAGTAGATAAAGCATTCTTTGCCACATATATCATTTTATTGTTTTATTCGTATAATTGTATTTCCGTAGTTAACTCTAAGAAGAAATGAATAATAATGATTGTGCTTGACAGCTAACTAAAGTTGCAGATTAGCATTTTATACCTTAGTAGCTTTAATATTGAACAGAACTTGTTGAAATTTCACATATTTGTAATTATTGTAAAATAAATAAATAAAAATAAAAAAAGATAAAAACACAGCTTCTGAAACCAAAAATGAACTAA